GGCCCTTGTCAGTTCTTAAACATTGTTTCATTGCTTGGTTGGTATGAAAGGGTATAATACTGACAAAGGCCAGACTCAACAAATTCATCACAGTGGATACTACTTGTGTGATGTTTAATTTGGAGGAGGAAACATGTGCTCATCTCTTCTGTTATTGCCTATATACTAAAGAAGTTCATAGACAGCTATCTGCATGGCTAGGATAGGATGTTTCTAAAGTACAAAGGGTTATTGCTACCTATATCACCACTTGCAGCAATATGTTATGGAAAGTCAGGAACATGAAGATACATAGTGGCAGGGAGATGACTATAGAGATTTTGGTATAGAGATTAAAGTCTACTGTAACCATGGCGCTTTGGAACAAACTTGCATTATGAATTGTAATATTTTCCCCATGAATTGGCATGTTATATGTTTAGAAGTAGTATAGCAGCTGGGGGTGTTTGACCTTGTAATTTGAGTTGGTTGGGGATTAATATATTGTGCTTGGTTCAAAAAAAAAAATTCACTAATTCTCTTATGTTTAACAGGAGAAAAATTAAAATCAACACTGTTTCGTTGTCATGACGACATCAAAGGTTTGTAATTTTTGGAACACAGACACGTACTGTCTATTAGACACAGTGTTTTGAAGACCGGACAGAACCGGCCGGTCCGACCGATCAACCCGCGAACCGGCAACATATCCGGTCTGATTCAACGAAGAAACCCGGACCCCTTTTGACCCGCCCAAACCCGCCGGAATCGGTGAACCGGGTGACCCGGGTCGACCCGTCCGGTTTCCGGGTTGGGCTTAAATCTATATTTTTATATTTTTGGACATAAAAATTGAAAGTATTGGCTGGGGGATTCGAACCCAGCACCTCCCCTTATTCTAGAAAAAGTTATTTCCAAGTGAGCTACCCAAACTTTGCTTAAAACCTAGGTATTCTATGCTTTTATTGTTTTACGAAAGGTTCATACAAAAATAAATATGTACTGGGGTACTTTTCTTGTGCTAAGTGTGAATTTGTATTTATGAACTTTTAAAATAGTTTTAAAAATTGAGAATTATTTAATTTTTATTTGAAAATAAATATACTCTATATATTTTATAATTAAAAAATTGTTGTCTTTAAAAATCAAGTAATATTTATTAATATAATTTAATATGCTATATTTTTTACTTTTCAATCATTTTAACAAACTAAATATTAACTTTAAAATGTCATATGTATATATGAATAAAATATATAGTCTTTAATTTTTGAGGATATGAGTATCACCTTATTATTTAAGTATTTATTTTAGATTCAATATTAACTTTTGATAATAATAAAAATAATAAAATAAAAATAGAAGGTGTGAAATATCATATGTACAAGGATATTAAAAAATAGATGGAGAAATAATAACATAAATTAAAATATTTTATTAACTAAAAATATTTAATATATTATAAAATATTATTATTATAAATATAGTTGACCGAGTCGTTGACCCCCGGTTAGACCGGTTTGACCGGTCAACCCTTGACCCACTACCTCGTCCGAGTCGACGTCCGGTCCGGTTTTCAAAATATTAGTCATAATTTCAAAGAAAAATTACCCAAAATAATCCCAACTTTACCTGGTCTTTCAAAAATAATCCGACCTTTCACTGTGATGCATAATAATCCCAACTTTATTGAAATTTGCCAATTTTGGGTCGCCGTTAAATTTCTAACGGAGGGTTAACGGAAATGCCCGTTTTAGGCAACAAAATGAAAGTTGGGATTATTTTTGATGAATTTTTGTTTTTGAATTTTTTTTGAAATTTTTATTTAAATTTTTTAAATTACTTTCAACCTCCATTTCTTTTTCTTTTTTAAAGATTATTCTTACCTTAGAAAAAAATAGATATCAAAAATAATGAAAATGAGAAAAATAACTAAAACCATACAAAATTAATCAAATAAATAATGTAATCAATAGAAATTCAACAGAAACTGGTAAGAAATAAAATAAATATATACGGAGTGGTGGGTTTTAACATTTTACTCACTATACAGAATCTTAATGTACTACTTATTTTTTAAAAGAACAAGCCGTCCGGTAAAGTTGGAATTGTTGTACATAATTTTTTCTAAAAAATAAGTGTACATAATTTTTTCTAAAAAATAAGAAGTGATATGTTAATACTTTGTATAATGCGTAAAATATTAAAACCCACCCGTATATTTTTATTTTACTTTAATTTTACCAACTTCAAGTTAGTTTCCATTGATTACCTTATTTATTTTATTATTTTTGTATCATTTTAGTTACATTTCTCATTTTTCATTTTTTATATCTATTATTTTTATTTTTTAAACTAAGACTAATCTTTAAAAAAGGAAAAGGAAATGATGATGGAGGTAGAAAGTAATTTAAAAAATTAAAATGAAAAATTTAAAAAAAATTAAAAAAACGAAATGGAGGTTGAAAGTAATTTAAAAAATTTAAATAAAAATTTCAAAAAAAATTCAAAAACAAAAATTCATCAAAAATAATCCCAACTTTCATTTTGTTGCCTAAAACGGGCATTTCCGTTAACCCTCCGTTAGAAACTTTTCGGCGACCCAAAACTGGCAAGTTTCAGTAATTTCTTCTTGAGTTTTTATTTTATATTTCCCTTTTTTCAACTTTTAAAACAAATTTAGTTTCTAGGACTCCGAATTTCAGTTACGACATACTCTTTGGTTAAAGTTTTTAGAGACTCCACTTTTCAAATTTTGGTTAAAATTAGTGCAAGAGAGAAATACCCATAGTTTTAAAAACCGGACTGGACCGGCCCGAACCGGTTTAAATCGGTAAAAACCGGCCGGTCGGACCGGTCCGCCCAGTTTTTTTTTTTTTTTTGCTGATTTTTTCCAAAACATGCCTCCATGGGGGTTTGAACCCAAGACCTCTTAGACATTTGGTTTAATTCTTAACCATCCAAGCAATGGTGCTTTTTGTTACTAGTTCACATAATCTTTTATAATATTTCATAATTACAAAAAAGATTGTATATAAATTCTTTTTCAATTTTATTAATATTATATAGCTATGAGTCAAACACAAAATCATTGATATTATTGATACTATTACAAAATGCAAATCATGCAAAGTTTTCGTTTTTTTATATTAAACAACTTATTTGAAAAAAATAAAATCAACTCTTCATTTAAAATTCTTTTATATTTTTTTAATATGTAAATTTTATTTTTTAATTTTATAAAATAACTCAAGTATATTAATATAGTATTACTTAAATGTTATAAATTACTTTTTTTAGATATTTATAAATGAGAATGTGTGTGTCTATATGTATGTATGTATGTGTGTGTAAATATATATACATATAAATATACATACACACACACATATATAGATTTATTTATTTATATTTATATAATTTTGAAATATGTTTAAACCACCGGTTCGACCAGTTGAATCACTGGTTCGACAAGTAAACCAGTGAATCAGTACCTTGACCGGTTCGGTCACCGGTCCGGTTCTAAAAACTATGATTAGACATATACAAACTCGGCCCGGCCCGTCCAGCCCACCCATTGTGCCCTTAAAAATCGGCGGATATGGAAAACTATATAAATCTATCTAGGCCGACCCGACAAGCTCGCAAGATAATATCGACAGGCTTGGGCATTGGATTTGGCTCGCATGGGCCTGCACACCTGCCCATATAATATAAGTATATATAAATATATAATATATATACAATAAATAATTTATTATAACATGAAATAAAATAAAGGATACAAAATTTTTTGAATTGTTGTTTTTTAAAATGTTTTATAGTTACTACTTCCTCCGTTCCGCTATATTCGTCCACTTTTGATTTTGGAACTGTTCATCTAAGCACTTTGACTCATCAAATTCTCTCAATGTGTAAGCCTAAATATAGTCATGCGTGATCTTGTTTGATTTGTCTTAACATATACTCCCTCCGTTTTTTTAAACACTTCCTATTTTATTTTTTTCACTTCCAACAAAACACTTCCACTTTCTATTAAAAAACCACTTTTACCCTTACTTTTTCATACCCTACCTATCACATCATACTTTATCTCTAATAATCTATCCATCACATCTTACTTTTACCTATCACATCAAGGGCAAAATTGGAAGTCAACTACAATTTAATATTTCCTTATTTTTACACAAAGTCAAAATAGGAACACTTTTTCCAAACGGAGGGAGTAGATTATTAATATGTAATTTCTATAATTTTTTAATATACAAATTACAAGATAAAATGGATTAAAGAAGTGTATTGGATGGTGTGCGAAAATGAAAGTGGACAAATAAAGTGGGACGGAGAGAGTATTTTTTAAAAAAAGAACAAATGATCGGGTCAAATTTTGGAAAAGGGAGCCGTACGGGAAAAACAGGAAGGGGGACTCACCTTTCTCGTTCCACCTAGGAGGGACAATGTTTTCCTCCATCCCAGTGTGGATGTTCGGCCTTTTCGCAAGCATCCCGTGCCCATACCCCACTTAGGGTACATCAAATATACACCAATGCAAAAATAGGTACATACAGAAATTTAATATATATACATGCACAGATATATGTATGTTTATTTTTAGCTTGTTGTATCTCGAAGTATGGAAAAAGACTAAAGTAGGAGTAAAATATGAAAATATACCAAAATAGAATTTCCATGTTTTCCTCCAGAACTAAGAGTTAAAATGTACTCCGTATTTATATTAATAATCATGATCCATGTACATTACCAAAAAGTATAATAAAATGCTCATATATAGTGTCATTTTACCACAATAGAAACTTCTATTTAAAAAATCAAAATATGACAGCTCATATTTCAGTAATTTCTTCACAAGCATTTTCCAAAGGAAAAAAGGTGAAACCAATTCAAACTCGTCTCAGTTCACAAGTGGGTACTATGATTCTATGAACAATTATTACAAAGGCCAGACAAGGCCAAACTCATCTCACTTCCCACTTATTATTGTTCGCTCATTCTCAGTTACCGTTCAATTTCCTGCTCCTACACTTCTACTCTCTTTTCTTCAGCTCCTTTCATTTCTACATTCATCTGTTTCCAATTCTCCATAAAAAAAATTACTCGCCAGAAACCCTCGCTCTTCTCCAAAAGATTTTGGGTTTTCAATTTTGAAATCTGGGTCTGTTCTTTCACTTCTTTGCATCTAATTTCCAAAAGAAAGGGAAAACAATATATACATATCCTTCGTTCCGACCGTCTGTATGTCTTCAAGCAAATTAAAGCAATGCAAAAACAAGAAGAAAATGTCAGTTTTTGTCAGATCTGTTAAGGTTGCAGCAGCTGTCCATGTGTGTCAAGCTTCGAAGCACCATTGTTAGTCTCTACGGAGTATTTTTTACGGAGTATTCTATTCCATCTTTATCTTGGTATGCATTACGTAGTACTCGCGGGATGGCATTATAGCGCCTGTCAAGAAAAAAATGAATTATGGCTAATTCTTTTTATTTTATACCTCCTCCATACTAAAATTAATTTATCAGTTTGACTTTTGCATTCAAACTATTTAAACTTTGACCGTGTATTACGGAAAAAATATATTAAATTTTCATATAAATTTATTATCAATAGATTAATTTTGAAACATAATATTGAAATATGTTGTTTTTAGAGATATTAATGGTCAAACTATCGCATTAGAGACCATGAAAAGTCAAATGAGAAGTTAATTTTAGGACAGAGGGAGTAGTTTTTTTTACATAAAATGATTTATATACAACACAATAAATATATACCACACAAATATTTCATCCGGTCCTAAAGACCTTTTTATTTTGATTTTTTTGGCACTTTGACCACAAATTGTAAGAAAAGTATACTACCTTTTTTTAATTATAATATAAATTCAATATAATCGAGTTTATCTTAGAATGTAGTTTTAATATATTCGTATCAAACTTTTATATCATTAATTTATTTAGATTACATTTAATTTGTAGTAAAAAAAGTCAAAACGGGAAATGCTACCGTAGATATGGTAGGATACAAAAATACTGGAATGGTATTAGAACTTGTGCTCAAGTTATTAACGCTAGTGACAAGTCAAAACACACTTTACACTTGAAGACTTAAAGCATTGTTTTTTTAGGCAAAATGGTCTTAAATAATCTCACCTTTTCGTGTTTTTTCAAAAATAATCCCATTTTTTTATTACCATCATTGGAGATAAGCTAATGGTCATTTAACAGAATTTTTGAAAAAATGCATGATTTTCGCAAAAAAAATGAAAGTTTGAATTATTTTAAGTAAATTCTCTTCTTCATTTTCTTAATTTCTAACATTAAATTTAAATTTATTTTTTAAAAAATGTTTAAGTTACAATTATTTTTCATGAGCGACCCTTCAAATTGTTTTTTGATACCATATATCCCACTATCCTTCAAATTGTTTTTTGATAAAAAATGGTACTACAAAAGTTGTGAATATTTTTTGATAATTCTATTCAAATTTTTTTTCTAAAACAACATTACAACAATTATAAAAATAACACAATAATGTTTTCTCTGAAGTAGAACTTTTAGTTTTATAACACACTACATTTTTTGTCGTATTCAAATTTTTTTCAGGAACAATACTTCAAAATGTTTATTGATAATCTTCTATTACCCGTATTATTTTTTCTAAAATGAAACTACCCAACTTGTGAATTTTTTGATAATTCAGTATAAAGTTTTTCCACAAAAAAAAAATAATTCAAAAATTGTGAAAATAGGAAAAGATTCTTTTCTTCAAAAAAGGCACTGATTAGTTTTATACTCTCTCCGTCCCATTTTAAATTGCATGTTTGCCTTTTTTCTCCGTCCCAAAATAAGTTGCCTGTTAGTTGTTTTCGTAAACTTTTAAAAATAATATACCTAAACTATTCCTAAAATAAGTAACTCTTCTTCACCTTATCTTCTCATTCATCTTCACCCCTTCTAAAAAGTAATGACAATTTCGAAAAATCAACTCTATTTTTTATTTCCTTAAATATGCCCAAAAATCAAAACAGACGATTTAAATTGGGACGGAGGGAGTAACTCACTACAATTTTTTGTATTGCAATTTCTTTCTCGAGTGATACTCTAAATTATTTTTCGATAACCCAATATTTATTCCCCTTACACATTAAAAAATTCTAAATTGTTATATTTTTTAAAGAATTTGAAACAAATCTCTAACAAGAGTGTACTGTTATATTTTTAAAAACATAAATTTTAAAATTAAAATTAAAAAAAGAGTAAAATTTGCTAAAATAATCTCATCTTTAACTTATTTGGGAAAAACATGCATTTTCCGAAAATCCGGTTAATGAAATAGTACTAGTGAAAGTGTGTCCACAATTTCAACTAAAATCCAGAGCAATTGAAAAATAATTACGAGATTATTTATTTTCTGCCGTTCTTACTAATTGTATCATAACAGCATTGATTATTTTTTGGGTGTTGTTATATTTGAGGTTAAAATTGTCAGTTTAAGATTAATGGAGTGATATAGCCAAAATTGTTGTTCTTATTATTATTATTTGAGGATTAAAAAATGTATTTGATTAAAAAATATGTGCATAAATAGCACTAAAACTTAAGTTATTTTCCTAAATAACTCTTAAATTGTTTTATTCCCTAAATAGCACTTAACAATGTCTAGTGATGACGAACATTTATTTGAATAATGACGAATGGATAATGACTAAGACTGCTATATTGGGAAAAAAACACACGTGATGCTATTTAATAAAAATCATTATGTTTTAGTTCTATTTACGTAAATGTGCCCGGAGAAATACTTCTTTTTTAAACCCAGTGCATATATTTGAAATTACAGCAAAGACAATAAGAAAGAATGCCAGTGCCAGCAGTGACAGGGAAGCTTGGTTCTACAATTGGCGGGAAACTTGTCGAGCTAACAGTGGAACCCATTCTAAAAGAAATTGGTTATGTCATCTTCTACCGTCACAACCTAACAGAGCACGAGGATGCCCTGAAAGAACTCAAGAATCGCAGAGATGTTGTGCAGATTAGGGTTGATGAAGCCAGAAGACAGGGCGAAGAAATTTATGGGCAAGTTAAGGATTGGATCAGCAAGGCAGACGAAATTACAAGTGGTGTGTGCAAAGGGACCCCAGGATTGTTCGTGGAGGTCA